GTGTTTGCGGCCTACGCCACTTATTTATCGGGTGAGACTGTTTTGGTGATGTATTAACTTCACGGGAGGTAGACGACCGTCCTTCACACGGACGAAAGAGGGAGTGCTCAAAAAGCGGCTCCCACAGCAAGGAGGGGCCCCGTGAATCATCGCGGTGCCCCCTATCAAACGGTTATCTTACCAGTCTGCGTGACACAAAATCATCCAGCGCATGTATCCAACAGCAATGTTCGCAGACTCACGAACAGATACCACTAGACCACCGGGGCAGCCGGTGTTTGAATGATGAGTGCCGGAATATCATCCTCCTCACAATCGTGCATTTCCTGAAGCTCCAACACGGATCGTCGACGGGGTGGGTCCGAGGGGATCTGCTAGGACCTGAGAGAGAGTAGGAAGGCATCGACGAACGGCATATATATGTAGTTGGCACTTTATTCATGTCATACGGGTGCACAAGCCCTACCTAACGTTTCAAATAGGTCTCTTCTACATCAGCGCCTACGCGGTGTGTTCACGTTACTAAACCTCGGGAGTTTAGCACTGGAATGCATGTGATTGTAACAGGTGTTTTCAACATCTGCGGATGGTTGCGACTTTCGAGCCTAGCTCTGAAACCCCAAACAAATTTCTCTGCGCCCCGCCCACGTGTGCGTTTCGCGACATACTCTATCTACCTTCACGTTACCGCTCACGACATAATGCTCTGGACATATTTTGAACAACAACAATTGGGATGCTTTGAAGGAATGCGGAACGTCCAAGCTTAAGACCTCGGAGCTCTCACGTTCTGGCGCCACCAGCGGTGACCAGTCCACGCCTCGTAGGTGTCGTACACCTTTTGAAAGAGGATCCAGTTGCTGCTGAAGGTGGCTCCTACCAGAGGCGACTTCACCTTCCCCTTGCCTCGGTGGGGCATTGAAACGCTCGGCGAAAGTTGTCTCTGAAGCCGTAGACGGTCGTCCGTTTGCTGTTCAGGTACGCGTGCGTTCGCGATTGCATTTCGGCGCGACAGGGGGCGAACGCAGCTCAATTTATCGTTTTTTCCCAACGTACTTCTTGGTTGAGTTCTCCCCGCTCGACATGCAGCCGGAAACATCTCCCTGTCCGAACAGTCAGAACAGACCTTGTCGCCCTCCGTCCATGGCCTTGAGAAGAGCTTCGCACAACTCTGATCGATTAGTTTTAACAGCAAGGGAGACCTCGTCAACAGCAGAGCAACATTGAGCGCATACTGTTCGCCCGATTTCTAAACAACGCAAGCGCACCAGTGTCAATCGATGGATTTTCGGATTTCTCCCTTGTGGCGTGCCAAGCGCCGAGTGCACGATGTCCAAACGACTTGTGTAACTAGCTGAGCAGCATGGGAAACATCCCCTGTCGTGATTCACGTGAAGGATGTCAACGCCCAGCGACACCACCTGCTGCAGCAGGGAGAACACTTTGTCGAACATGGTAATCCCGTGGCTGTCCGCCTCCATCGACGCCGACGCCGCACAAGTGAGCGAGCTGCTCTTGTTTGTTTCCCGTAGAAAATATCCCAGGTCTGAAATGAGTTGCCAAGGGAGTGATGGTGTGGCGTTCGGGAAAGATTCGGAAGGGTTTGGTTGGTCCGCTATATGCATGAATGGGGACCGATGACGGGTTTCTGTAGCAAGAGCTCTTGAGTGGGAGACGGAATAGTCGCTAGTTGTTGCACAAGGGTGCGTTAATTCTTTGAAGTGTTTCTTAACGAGCTTCTTGGCGGAGCGTGGGCATTGAGTCACACACGAGAGCCGTGTCTAATCTCCCGAAGTGGATTCACGGCACGTAGGATAACGGTGCATAGTTGCTAGGCGGAGCGTGAGCATTGAGCCAAACATGAGAAGCGTGTGTAATCTCCCCTCGTGGACTCATGACACATAGGAAAACGGTGCATACCTCAACTCGTGGGTTTCTTCGTCCGGTCGGTACGTTCTGAATCGAGTAGATCATGCTCTAGTAAGCTAATGGCGGATACGGGACGTGAATTTCTCTTGTTTGTCATTCAAATCCAGGCTGACGCCGAGGTCGACGAAAACAATACAAGATGCCCAAACATGTACCACTTCGGTGTAGTTTCCGAAGAGTCCGCGCACGAGATCGTACACCAGCTCCATAGCGTCCGTCCGTCCAGACAAGATCGCATATGAGAAGACGGACTTTGCGCGGGTTTTGATCGCCCTTACAGCTGCCTGCACTCTGTCGCCCCGGGGGAGCTCCACCCGCCCGCCATCCGCGGGTCTCTCCACTTTGGCGAGCCGGAAATCGCGGTCGTTTTCACTGCGTTTGACGAGGTTGAATTTCCCTTTCTGCAAACAACAAAGTGGGCATAGAAAGCGAGACGGCCGACAGTATCTCAATCTGCTCAGAATGCAACAATGAAGAGCCCATCGTCATTTGACTCACCTGTAATGCTTCGATAGCTGTACGCCAATTGCCTCACCAAACACCAAATACAACCAAGAACTTCAACCCAACCAACCTGCATCGCTTTTCTTGTGCGTCTTCGAAGAACTACTTCCAATTCGCCTCAATCCAATCGTTTTCAAGGCTAGAAAACTGTCCACTGAGACTGAAAATGGCCCTAATGTGTTCTGCGCTTGATCCCCAAATGAGTTTTTCCCGCCCTTTCTTGGGCGAGGTTCCGCGCCAAAACAAAGGGTTACGATGCTGATTGGTTTGAGAAGGGTCCGTGTCATCATGGCCACCACCAAACGCTTCGAGCCTATGATGTTGAAGGAACGGCCCGAGGAGCCCATCTGTGTTTGTGGTTTCTGCTTCAGTTATTCAGTGTTACGTGTGTTCTGGCTTGCCTACCAATAGGTTTAGACTTACCTTTATGGCCAGTAGGACATGATACAACACATCAATACCGCCGAGCTTCGCGGCGGCCGCCAACAGCAAAGCCCATCCCCAGGCTTTGGTTCGGTGAAACTGCTCCTCTTGAGCCTTATCGATCGTTATGTTGACCGCGAGCGCGTCGTCTAGCGCCACCGTGAAGCCACTCTCAGTGCTGTTTCTGGAGGCAAGTGGGAGCTCGTTCAGAGCTAGCTCCAAAGACACCAAGCCGCCTCGTGCAGCGTGTATCAACTCTGTTACTGCCCGAGTGTCGACGCGATTCTTTTTCGGTACGGTTGGGATGGGAGCCGGTACACGCGATGGCTTCATCCATCCTGTCCTGACTGGTGTACCTCGAGTGCATGTTGCATCCGGCAGAGCCTCGTAGAGCTCGTAGAGCTTTTTTCGGAGGGATTGCTCTCTCAGGGTCAATGTTGGGCCCTGTTGCGCTTGCCCCCGACAGCTGTCGTTCCGAAGGACGTACATGATCGGGGTCCGCCCCATGATGTCGGCCGTGTTCATCTCTTCGTACAGCGAACCGCAAAGTTCCACCACCTCGTCCAGTACTGCGTAGGAGCCCGCTTCCGCTGCATGGTGAAGGCAGTTTTTGCCCATGCGGTCGACCTTCCCCAATACTTGCAGCAGAAGCCCTGCGTCCGCAGACGCGGTGTCTGTGGCTGGTAGTTGCGGGTCGAGAGATTCTGTCTGGCCGCCAACCGTGGGCTTGTCGTGCGGGAGCATGCAATCAGCGACCTCTCTGCACCCGTTCAAGACCTCTTTGAAGTTTTCAACGTGGTTGCTCCTCGCGGCATGCATGAGTATTCCCCTCCCGAGTCCGTCTACGAGCTCGAACTGCTGCACAAGCTCGCCCTTGCCCAGCACAGACAAGATCATGTCTTTCGCCGTTCGAAAGCAGGAATACTCGCAGTTGCTTGATGCCGCATGAAAGAGTAGAGGACAACCGTGGATGTCGATCTCCCGTAGTTCCGTCAAGAGCGTAGGGATTCCCAGCTTGGTGGATTGTGCGGGAGGCAGACAATAGATGGCTGGGTGATTCCTGGGTTAGCCCTTGCTGCACAATAGCTCCCCACAGCCTCGTAAACACAGAGCGTCGAAGCTGAGCTCATAATATTCTCCCAAGATTCTCTGTCGTGCATGCCGTCGACAAAATTGAAAGAGGGTCTACTACGCGGTGGAACAAAATTGAGTGCCCTCACAAGTTTTCGACACCGTGCACTGATATACAATTCACAACGCATACGGTCAGCTTTTCTACATGGGCCAACATGATTTTGTCGTGGGAGGTTCATCCCCGCTAGGGGCGCGCTGCGCAGGCGCCTGCTGACTCACGAGAGTATGCTTTTCGGTGAACCGACAGGTAGATGCTGTACCGCACTGGGCATTAAGTGCCTTGGCTGTGCAAGATGTACGCTTCCCATACGTAGAATCACCTGTGATCTGATGTGGTCGATCAGGTGCAGAAACCATCCTCGTTCCCGTGGGCAGCGGCGTACATGAGCAATTCTGCCCATCTTCGGAGCACTTGGACAGCAGCGCCTCGTCCAAAATCGATTCCAGGTCTTCCCCTAGTTCGTCTTTCACCAACTTCCATCCCTTCTCCACGTCCATCTCCGGGTTTCGTATGTGTCGGCGTAAGTGATACATCGTTTCTTGCTTCAACTGGTCGGGATTGGCATCAGAACGACAGCCGTGTAGGTGAAGGTGCTGTTTTTCTCTGTAGTCTTGAAAAATATGATGCCGTCCATTCTTGATCGAACGGGCTGGATTGATTCGGGATTCTCCGATTGGTGCCAACGCAGTAACTTGCTTCTGCTGAAAAGGAACAGTTATCGCCACTTTAGCATTCATTGGACACGGCGATGGGATTCTTCGAGGGGATGAAACGCGTGGTAGGGCACGGCTATAATCAAAGGCTGCTTCTCCCTCAGACAAACATCAAGCAGAGAAGCTACGACCACATTTTGCTTCGTGGTGTCGAGTGTTACCCGGCCCTTCGCTGTTCTCTAGTTGACGGTTCATGACAAGCGCTTTGTGGCTACACACATATATGAGAGAAAAAGACGTGTGTATGCATAAAAGTGTTTGACACATGCCAAGGTCATCGAGTAGCAGATTTTGGAGGGCATGCAAACTTGGTTATTCTGAAGTTGTCCCCCCGCTCCCATATGAATTCGGAGGAATTCGCTCGAGTTGCAAAGCTGTTGGCCGGAAGGTTCGTGCGAAAACTGGTAGACTACAGTAAAGTATTCCAGATTAGCACGCTCAAGTCCCACATGCCAACCAAGATATGCCGTAATCATCGCCAGACGAGGTAACTACTGACGTGCCCCGCAGACCAGAACAACATGAACGAACGCGATGAGCGAAGGGCTATCATTGGCCGCTCCGTCGGAGGACTGCACAAGATCAGCACAGGCGGCACAGGCGGAGTGAGCATTCAGGCAATGCGTCACACGCGGCCCCACAACGACACGACGAAGGCGCATGTCCGCGTTGGTACGAAACGAATCTCGCGCGTCAAAGCTCCTGAGCCGAGGGTTTCGTCAACAGTGGCTACATCTTCGACGTGGCCGTGTGCCGTCTACATCAGCCAATCACTTCTTCGCGAGTTCTTACATCGACACATGTACAGGGCAATTGTTTTCTACAACAACGCTGCTGAAGCAACAGAATGGAGGCTCAGTGTTCAAACTTCACCCAACCAAGTGCTATTTCCCCGTTTCAGTGCCTGTCAAGTAGATCAACACGCGGCGCTTGTACGAGCGCCTAAGAACGTACAGCAAAAAAACCAGGTTGCTTTGAATGAAACGTCCTGCACAGCCTACAGCGGTTGGGTCACGGTCTTTCGGAGGGTCGTCCCACGACAAATCGATCTCCTTGTTTCACACTACATGTACCGCCCTACAAAAGCACGAAGCCCGGAAAACTTGTCTTGCCTGTGCTCTGTGGCGCCCATACATGCTTGCCGACCCTTGCCATGTTCGCTCAGCCTCCACCAGTCCTGGAATGTTTCATTTGCCAAAGGCGCCGAACGGTGAGGTCCGTGCTTGATTCTTTTCGTTTCCTTTTCGATTCCGCACAAATATTCTCCCATTTCCATTTCCTTCAATGCGAGAGTTGGCTGACGGGAATCAAATACTTTCGACTACACTGAACAGCTACTGAGCCTGCTGCACTCTTCCCCGTAGCAGCAAAAACTGTGGCAGGGGCAGTGGATGCATGTTGCTACCCGACGAGGAAGCATCACCAGAGACGCAACCGTCGAGCCCAACCACACTTTTTTCTGGCGCGGTCAATGATTTATTTCGGGTGACTGTGATAAAAATTATGCCAGATATTGCCGTACCTGTTCTGCGCCCTCACGTTGTTCCGAAGGGACCGATCGCAAAAGATGAAGGAGGGGCCAGTCAGGCTCAGGAGGCCGGGGATATTGCTCGGCGTCGTCAGTTTGTTCGCAGTGTCGTTGGGGGACAAGAAGAACGGGGGGGGGGG